TTAAAGGCTAGAAAGGAAATTAAAAACCATAAAATATTTGGTGGTAACATAGACATTTTTTAAACATTTTTGTTTCTTTGGATTCTGGTGAATTTGTTCTTTTCTCGGCCTTATAGGTTTGCCAGCCAGCAAGAACTCGGTGGGAGAACAGATATTTCAAGAAACAGATCCATTGCGTGTCCCTGAACAGTAAGCCTCCTACTTATTTGTTTTTCTTTTCTTTCCTTTTTTTTTTTTTGTCAACAGAGATGTACCAATATTTAAGTGAAGTGTGAAGATTGCTGCAAAAGAACAAGACAATAACTTTTGCCAGGCTAGGATGGATCTTAAGACGCAATTTTTACCATTCATTCGAACACAGGTCAGGTTTTTCCATCCTGTAACCACTCTTCAGCAGCCTGATGATGTCTGTGTTATTTATAAATGGGTAGGGTGAGCCACCTTGAGTGGTAAAAACAAAAGTTTATTAGAATCCCTACAAACATTTCATTTAGCCTAAGCCTAAGCCTAAGCCTAAGCGGGAAATGTAGAAAACGCGGGAAATGTAGAAAACACGAGCCAGAGGCGAGCGTTTTTTACCTTTCTCGAGTGTTCTCAAAATGTCTGGAGTGTTTTATCACAGTGTAATAGCAGCTTAGGCTTCGTTCTTCTTTATTTGTTAAGTTAACCTCGTCTTTAAAACTTTCTGCTGCTTCGTAAAGAACTCGATCACAAATTTCTTCAAAGAAACTCTAACAAAAATGTTGACTAGAGGTAATGTGGCGAAAAACAGTAAAACATGTTTTTTCTATCTTTTATACTATGATAAAACATGGGTTTTTGAGCAATCATTTAAATATGCCTTATTTATCACATGATCCGTTCAATTCCACGCACCGTTCCTTTGGAAACCGTAAAAGCGGTCCCGTATGAGGGCCGTGCGCGTACGCGTGTCGAAGTAATAGTGCCGGAAAAGTCGTACGGCGCTACTAGAAACGCGTACGGACTCGCAAATCGATGCGAGTTAATGACAGAAACAATTTTAGGTTGCTGCGAAGTATTATTTTCTTCCAAATAAGAAATTAAAGTGAACGCTCTGCCAGCGAATTTTTGAGCGATTAAAGCAAACATTCTGCCGGCGAATTTTTCCTATGGCAAAAGTTCAATCCGGAACTACTTAAGTTGCCAACTTACACCGAAAGAACAGAAAGAAAGTCAACGTTCGTAACAAATGAAGAAATTCACAATTTTATCAGAAGCAAAATAACTCCTTTTTGACTAAGTGAGGTCAAGTACAGCTCACCCTGCGAGCGGAGCCTCTTTTATCTATTTTTGCTTTATCATTTATTAGCTTCGAATTAATCCCGTTCAATTCTGATTGTTTTTTCCAGGCGATGTTTTAACAACTGCCTTAGTTGTGTTCTTAACCGCGATGATCATTTATTTTTTTTACTTAATGCGACCTTGCTGGCGTGCAATTTAGTATAAATTATTAAAGCCACACCCACACAGGGGGAGGGGCAGATCTGACAGTACCAGCGAGGATATTTATATGGGTAACAACATTGCAACCCCCCCTCCCCTTTTGCTGGGTAGATACGGGAAACAGAAACAAAACACTGATTATGGTGGCAAAACATGGGTGGCAGGGAAGACAGAGCCTATCTCCCCTAGAGTAGCGGCGTCTCTAGGGGAACCTA